ATACTGACTCCGAGCCGACCAGTCCTTCTTTTAGCCCCTTAATGCCGAGCGCCAGGCAGGGTAACAACAAGTACCATCTTTTAACGTCTTTTGGTATGAAATCGAAGCCCGGACCTTCCGCTCTCCGGGTGGACGGTCTACCACCAGACCACGGAGGCGGTCAGAGAAAATAAAGAGATAAATGTCAACATGAGAAGCACAATATCCGTGAGTTTAGATCATAATCATATTTCGAAATGTCAGATGACTGTCTATGGATGAAGATTGGTATAGTCAGTTAGTGAGTGAGCATGGTATTACGTCGCTTTAAGCAATATTCCAGCAATATCAAGGCGGGGGACACAAGAAATGGGCTTCACATATTTTCCCATGGGTGGAATCAAACCTGTGCTTTCGGCGTGACGAGCGAACACTTTGACCACTAGGCTACCCCAGAGCCCTGAAGATTGGAACAACTGACGGTAACGAATGATTATAACGGCCTGCTATAAGAGTCATCATAAGTTATCCATGGATGATGTGATATCAAAATATATCTCACCATCATGTAGGTACCTACATATGCACCTGCATTAATACAATACGCATATGATTCCTGGAAACGAGTTTAGTTTAACGCAAAACACAAGAAATTTTGAACGCTAATGCTGATGGCTCAGTAATGAATACGGCAGCCATTTCGATACAGAGGGTGAAATATGAAACGCACATTTAGTCATATTTTGTTTTACATCATATGAATGAGTGAGTGAGTTGGGTTTAACGCCGCTTTTAACATTATTCCAGTTATATCACGTCGTGTCAGCTTAATGTGGGAGGAAAGCCCGAAGTGATGCAGGTCTCAGACGTTTACCACTTCGGTGAAACCCACGAGCAAGGGTATGGTGCTGACAAACCTGGAAACATAATCGGGGCGAACCGGGATTCGAACCCACAATCATAGGTTTCTGGCGTGCCCAAGGGACGCAACTCTGCACAGCGAATCGCGGCGCCTTAGACGACTGGGCCATCCGTGCCCCCACATCATATGATTTGTGTTGAACATGTGAACATCAACACAATGGTGCCGCCATTCTTTGTGACTCAGTGGGTATAAGGCATTTCGTTCAGAAGTATTGTGCAAGCTGCTACAGCAGGCATATTTAACGATCCTAAGTATTTGATCATGATCTGTCACTCCAGAACATCTGCACGTATCTGTGCAAACAGGAGCTGTGTGCATGTACTGTCGTTACCTAGCAGCCATTCAGCACCCGACAGATTGATATATTGAATTATTAACACACTGCGAAACATTGTAAACAGAATAATACAGGATGTCAAGTTAGCACCATTTTAGATGTGTTTAGTTGTGTCCCTTATCAATGCCCCAAAACATGTGACATTTAGGTTCGAATCCCTGTTCGCCCTGGATATGTCTATAGGCCTGTGACTACCGTCCCGTGCTTGTGGGTTTCACCAATATGGCAAACGGTCTAAGACCAGCATCACTTCACTGGAAGTGTCATTACTATTTTGTCGAACGTGAAAGATTTCAGTCATTCCGACCATCAATTATTACACATGGACCATGCACCTAGGCCTAAGCGTCAATCAAAATCAATTCTTAGGACTTTGTCACAGCTTATTGATCGGCATGTGTTGACATTTGTGCATATGCTATTCACATTGTATTATTATACACAGCTGCTTCTGACACCGATTCGCCTAGCTACTAACGTCACCATGTCGCAATAGAGGCTGAATTCGTGTTCGCTGAAACAAGTCAGATAATATAACCGTACGGAAAACCATATATCTATGGCATTGAATCTTCCTTAAATGTATGAGACATTGTCATTATATTGTAAAGTCTTTAGGTTTCAGTACTTCTATCTCTGAAAACAATATGACTAATAGTGAAAGCAACATGGAGGCGGTCGGTTCAAAACCCTACACACATGACTCATTGTAAAACTGCAGTGGTAGTTGGTTGGTTGGTTTGTTGTTTAACGCCACACTCGGCAATATTCCAGCTATATGACGGCGGTCTGTAAATAATCGAGTCTGGACCAGACAATCCAGTGATTAATATCATGAGCATCAATCCACGAAATTGGAATCGATGACATGCATCAACCAGGTCAGTCAGCCTGACCACCCGATCCCGTTAGTCACCTTTTACGGCAAGCATGGGTTGCTGAAGGCCTATTCTACCCCGGATCTTCACGGGTCCAGTGGTAAGGTATGAACATAAAGTATGTTTCAATATAGTTTGAGACATTTCGTCATAACTTGACTGAAGATATATCTGTGCAGCCAACATCGTTTTCAATGTGTGTATTTGTTAACTTGTAATTTTAGTTTAAATGGTAGACTTATATTAATATTATTTATGTTAAACATATATGCCTTATGTTGACCCTATAACAATTCTTACGTTGATAATTGACTTACTTAAACTGGGTCGTTGTTTCTATTTGTGGACTAACGTCCCGAGTGTCACCATAAGCTCAATAGTATTTATCTATGCTGAGTCAACTACAAAAGAAATGTTTGTGCCGAGACATTAAAACTGTTCCCGACTATGTAAAACGAATATATTTCTGAAACGTTTTTCTTTACTGATAAGCAGCAGAGTCTCTGGATATGTACACAGCAGCCGTAATTCCAAATTAACATATCGTTTATATCAGTTTCAACAAAACCAGTAATTGCATTATCGTGTCATTGGATTTTCTGGCTCATCGATCAACTGATTGTCTGGTTTGTTTACTCTGGTTTGTTTACAGTTTGCCGTTGCATGGCTTGAGTACTGCTTGTGAAGCAGTCACGCAATACATAAATACTTTTTATGTCGCTATAACAAACCTCCCACGCCACTTAATGAGAGACTGTGCCCTTTTTGTAATCATCTAGAATCTGAAGTTCATTTTCTTTTCTATTGTAGCTTTTATGATGATCTTAGGTTTGAACTTGTTAATCTTTTAAATTTTAAATCATCTGATAAGACTTTTACTATGTTAACTGATAAGACTTTTACTGTGTTAACTGACGTCATGTCAAGCTCTGACGCCTCGTTAATCAAACTTTTAGTATCAACTATTAATGAAATGTTTAACAGGAGACAGCGTTTTACATAATATATGTCTTAGTCGATTGATATCTGTATATTTTAATACATTTTAATTTTTTTTATTTTTCTATTAGGTATGATCTTACTAGTGTATATCTGTTTTAAAATAGTGTCTCATAAGCCTAGCTAGGCTGGATGGTATGATAAATTAAATATGATGTATTGTTATTGTTTCATGCCATGTGACACTTTAATAAACTATGTCTATGTCTATAAATACTTTTTTATGCAAATTGTGTGAATAGCGTGTGCTACCTGTAGGGCAGGACCCGCGTACCCTTTTCGCGAACACCTGGTGTCATCACTGAGTTTCAGTGGTCGATTCATATCATTTTCACAACTATATGAAATCTGTTTCACGGATGGTCTAGACTGTTTGTGCACTTGCATTAGCAATAATATTTACGTGAAAAATAGACTACGCCAACACAGTGATGATGGTAGTGGTAATACTACTAGCAGTTAGGGATGAGTATTGGAGGTTTAAAAATGTATCACAATATTTTGCAAAGCACAAGGACATATTGCGATACGTACATGTATCGCGATATATTGTATAATTCTAAATTTTGAATTGGTAAGCAATCTGATACATTAGGTATGAACTTATGTTCATAAATGGAACAAAACAAAATGCTGGAACAACATAATGTTTCATTCAAAAAATACGCAGCCATCTTGGGGCCCCGGATGCTCGCGCCTGGGCAGTGAAGGCATTTTGCAAGGATATAACATTAAATACATGGTAAAAACATCAATTTGAAATCACCTGATATATCGAACATGAAAAAGTGATATTGTTATACGTATCGTGGAAAAAATGAACCTCAATTTACCGATATACCGTTAATACCACACATCCTTAGGTGAAACTAGCGCATTCTTCACAGTATCAGGTACGAGAGTCGCATGTACATTTGTAGTGATAAAACGGTTTCACTCAGACTCTCTTTGGCATGGGATCATATGGGCAGGATTTCGTTGGACTCTGCAAGAACTTCAGACTCTGATGTGGGTTCAAAAACACGACAACTGTGATTGTGTATTATAGCAGTTCAGATGCATAGCGCATAGATTAATGGTTAAAGTTGGCATAATAATTTAAGATTATGTATTTTTGTTTAATGAGGTTGAGTATCTTGTTTTGTTAGTTTGCTGAAAATATAAAGAAATAAGAAAATACATGTACACATATTATATACTTTCAAATAAAGATAAATTTACTTCATTAATGTCATGTAGCATAAACAATGTAATATGCTGTGTCATTAGATTTAAATTAAATTGTAAAGAAATTATCATTCTAACCTCTACAACCGCTTCTATATCATGTTCATTCTGTCCAAACGGTCCGTGGCCTTACTGAGTGAGTGAGTGAGTATGGTTTTACGCCGCTTTTAGCAATATTCCAGCAATATCACGGTGGGGGACACCAGAAATGGGCTCCACACATTGTACCCATGTCGGGATTCGAACCCGGGTCTTCGGCGTGACGAGCGAACGCTATAACCACTAGGCTACCTGACCGCCCCGTGGCCTTACTGAAATGATACCACATAAATAAACGCTTTTGTAGTAAGCAGTAGTAAAAGTAGCAGCAGGAGTGGTGGTGGTGATAGCAGTACTAGTTGTTGTTGTTGTGGTACACATGGTAATATTGTACCTACATGAATATTTGATTATTTCTAGCGTTTATAGAGTTAGCTCCCTTAAACGATATGGTTAATTGTTATGCTCTCATTTTGTATCATGTCCTTCTTGTCTTCATGCAGATACAGTAAGCATAATGTTTTAAAACAAAAGTCACACTAGAAGGCAACTGTCGTAAATAACAACGAAAGATATACTTATATCTATATTTATGCAACAATAACACAACAAGATGTAAAATAATTATGATTTATTAAGATGTACATATATACGAGTTTGGCATACATGGGGGGCTGTATGCAGGAAAAGTGAGATGGTACCCTGGGGCCAAGTGGTAACGCGCCGGACTGTGTCCTAGGGTTACCCTGTAGCGCGCCGGGTACTTGTGAATTTTGGGGGGCCAAAACAGTTTCTCCAGGGGAGAATGTTTTGAGGCCCATATCTGCATACAGTCCCGAAGTAAAAGGTAGTTACAAGAAAAATGTGAAATGATTAATCAATAAGATGGATGGTGCTGGCTGCTGCCATGAGTGCCCAAATTAAGTAGTTGAAAGTTGGATGGAGGAGGATGGCAAGTAGTAGATGCATAGAGGGAAAATGAGAGTTGTAAGGTTTGATTGCTGTCGGCGTCTGGTACATGAGCCATGTGTAGCAAAAGTGTAAAGTTGTAAGGGAGGTGGGTGGGTTTTCAAGTGTTAGCAGCGTAGATGTTAGATGTAGCTCAGATGCCTTCTTTGATTGTTGAATCAAGAAAGCCACGAAAGAGCGTCCTGGCACTATCACTTTGCATGCAAAATTTAGGTGTCCCAATAACGAAAGCAGTTCTCGTTTTTTGCAAGCAGATTTTTTCAAGAATCCTGTGATAAATTCACATATGCGGTGTATGTTGTTGACGGGTAATCGAGCCTCCATTCTCACCGTATCCAAAATGATGCCGAGATACTCCAGTTCGTGGACAGGGCCGACCGTTTTGTGCGTAGCCAGCGGTACCTTCAGACTGTTGAACAGAAGTGACAATAGTGCCATGGTACGCTCTGCCTCAAAGTCCACAGGGTCTATGGTTAAGAAATCATCCAACAGCCACAGTATGTGTTTGATGCCATATTTGTGTTCAGCTATCCAAGCTAACGCTGTAGATAACATATCGAATAGGCAAGGACTGGACCTACAACCGAATGCTAATCTTGTGTAAAAGTAGTATTTTTTCTTCCATTTGAAGCCGAAAAACTTCCAAAAGTCTTGATTGATTGGGATTTGTTTGAAGGCATCGGAAATGTCCACTTTGCATAACCATGCACCTTGTCCACATTTCTTGATGATATTTATGGCGTGGTCAATAGTCACATATGTTAAAGAACATGAATCTTTGTCTATTAATTGGTTGATGCTAGGCTGTTCTGCATTATGTGGAGCTGACAAATCCAATATAAGTCTTTGCTTCTTGCTATATTTCCCCTCAGCTACACCAAGGGGGCTGACTCTAAACAAGGAAAAGGGTGGTTTAGACCATGGCCCGGTAACATACCCCTTATCCACCTCTTTTGCGATTAGATCTGTGACGATGTCCGGTTGTTTTCTGGCACTAAATTTGTTAACACATTCGAAGGAGGTGCGAGGTACAGGGTCAAATAGAGGATTGAACCCCTCTGTCAGTCCGGTGATTAGAGAGTGAACAAACTGTTTGTCCTGATGGCCTGTTAGGTCTGTTGCCAATCTACAGGTGTCAATGGGTGTGGATGGTGATAGTCATGTGTCACGTTTTTTCCGGCTCTCCTTGTCTCTGGGACACTCTTGTTTGCCATGTCCTCTTTGGCGACAGATGATACACTGGTGGGCAAAAAGGCACGGGTCTCGGCTACAGCCTCGGTCGTTGTAATTGTTGCAGACCTCGACACCGTTGTAAACCACTCTATTTCTGCCATGGGAATCGGTGTTCGGATCTCTATGGTATCTAGGACGATCTGATTGGTAAGGAGTGTACCTTTGTCCACGTTCTGCTGGACGAGAAACGGCCATGAAGCAAGTGTCAGTAGAATGAGACAAACTATGGCATATACCACATGCCCTTGTGCGACGCCCTGAAGTAACAGTGGTGTAAATTCGAGTGTCCAAGATACTCCAGTCGATGATAGTACCTTTGCACACATAGGCTGCTGATCTAGCTGCGAACATTCTATGATACTCGTAGAAGAGAGTTCCTCGATAGTGTGATGCCATGTCAACTAGTAATCTCTCATACCTGTCCATTTCTTCTCTGCGTTGAGGATAGGCTTCACAGAAGATTGCTTTATAAATTCCAAAAGCCTTAATAAATTCACCTAAGGATAGACTCCTGTGTCGTAGGTCGTCTCTAATAGACACACTGTCGTCCTCGCCTGTTGCACTTGCAATTTGTGTAGTTCGATATTCTCCTGTTTCGGCCGATGGTCGCAGGAGCAAGGCTAGGTTAATGGCTTTACCTTCCACAATTTGACGTCGTAGGGCTGGGCTGACACTGTCAATGTGGGGTAAAGTGTCTGATGCTACAGGCTGGCCCTGTATCGGAGCATTCGAGTTTCTGTAGAAATCAGGTGGATTGCTAGCCGATGCGGGTATATTATTACCTGGTGGAGAAGGTTGTAGGCTCTGTACCATCTGTCTGAGTTGTCTCATCTCATTGACTACCTCACTGATCGTGTAGTTAGGGCCATCATGTAGGCTGTTAGGCGGGGTAATGTTGGAAGAAGTCCCAGGCGTTGGCATGGAGTGTACCACATAGTCCGAGTTGTTGAGACTCAGGTCAGCATGCTGAGTATCTCCTGATATGCGTTGTGGAGTCACACCTCCTTCCCCCTGTTGGTTATCAGATTCTGCTCTGGAAATGGTAGCTGTTGGTTGTCGTCTGCTTACACGTTGCGGGATTCGTTGTTGTGGAGGGGTTCGTGTTTGGCTATCACTTGGATTTGGCTGGTTGAGCACATACATTTGTAACAGTAACTTTTTAGTCATGTTGTCAGGAACACATACTCTAAGTTCTTTCAATTTATCCTTCAACTGGGCAGCTGTCCAGTTTTCTGGTCGGTCGGTATCCCAAACGTCGACCTGTCGGTCTTGATGTGTAGGCGCATTCCTCTGTCTGCTGTTTCGTGTTGAGCGGGTTTTGCCTCTCCGACCTGACGACCCTTCCATGGTGACCTAAAAAACGAGGTCATGCAGACTAAGCAGACTTCGCTCGTAGCCGGAATGCACTAGCTGGTACGTCCGACAGCTTGCGTCAGCTGTGGGGCAGTTAGATTGATGGCCTGATAACGATCACCGAGAAAATGTTCAGTCATGTGTCACGGTTTTTTCAAGTGTTAGCAGCGTACGTATAGACAAGATGGCGATGTGAAACAACAATGGAATGTGAAGACGAGGCTGGGCGGAAATGCTGTGCATTATGGGACAATGTTCCAGTGTAAGCATTTATTAATAGAGACAGGAATCCAAGAAATATTAGGCCATAGTGAATTGTAATGTACATGTTGCATGTGGCATGAAGGTAAATAAAAAAAAGAAACTCTAGCTGCAATGTATAAACAAACAAGTTTAGTGCCCGACGGAATGAGGTAAAGACCCGACGGAATGAGGTAAAGAAGGGACGTAACTCTATGTGACACATGTGGTTGAAAGTAAGAAAGATAATATGGCAAATACGAAAGTATAGATGCAGTAGGAATGTTATTGTTGCATAAACTACTAAATACTATATTGACATTAAATATTTATCATAAAAGCATGGCATGTGTACAACACAATTGCAAATAAAAAATATGGCATGGTGTTATTTAAATCACTTATAATATGTAAATATACATTCAAACACGTAAAAATGATCATAAAAACAAGGTAATCCCTTGACATATATATATGCAAACGGATGTCTGAAGATCAGCTGTTGCAATATCATTTGGTTACAATGTATGTTGCATGAGAAAGGGCATTCATGATCATATAAGGTCATTCGTCGCATTTCCAGTCAGCAAATGGAAATATACAATGAACGTTGCAGCTAAACTGACGGGCAAAAGAAAGTATACACTTGAAAATTTGTTTTGACCAAAATTACAAACGTTATCAAAATGTTACTAGGCTGAAAACAGTCGCCCGATACACTGCAAACGTAAGGTCCAAAACACAACTTTGACATCCGTATTAAATACATGTACATCACCATTGAATAACCATTTCTTGTTAAGCCACCATTAAAAATGGGTGCATACTTTCTCTTGGCCGGCGGTTTACATGGAATAGTGCAACGACGCCGTAGTTCACATGGATATATAATTAACAGTATGAAATGCGAAAAAGAATTGCTATTTAAGATACGTTGCTGTCAGCATCTGAATACAATATGTTCTGCATCAACTAACAGACAAATTTGACATATTGGATCACTGATCATGTTATCCAACACAAGCTTGCCTGGCCCAGACTCGACTATTTACTTCGCTTACTCACTTCATTTCGAAAATTATCTACATCGACTTCAGTTATATATTTAAATGAGTTTTATTATATACAGAGCTTCCATATCCCTTAACTTCATAATACAGCTATTTAACAATTTCAACTTTGAGAGAGGTGACTAACAGGATCAGGTGGTCAGGCTCAATGATTTGGTTGATGCACGTCATCGATCCCAATTACGTGGATCGATGCTCATGATGTCAATCACTGGATTGTCTGGTCCAGACTCGATTATTTACAGTCCGCCGTCATATAGCTGGAATATTGCTGAGTGCGGCGTTAAACAACAAACAAACCAACTAACCAGATTGAAAAGAAATGATTAAACCCAATCTTTGATTCCATACTGTTATACTAATATATACATGTGAATGGAAAAATAACCATCCAAGCAAATTATGTACAATTATTCATCGACCCCATCATTGGCACCAGGGGATGTCATTCGATCATGGACAGCAGAAGAATGTTTAGTCATGTAATGATTGGGACAAGATAGTTACTATTTTTATGTATATGGACATATTTTTGTATTTCACGAACATATAACATATATGTTGTTATTTAATAACTTCTTATGTTGCGCTCATAGGTAAAATATCTAAATGATTTCACATGCCTTGACATTTTTTCGCGATTAACGCTATAAACTCATTTCATTTTACACCATAAGATGCTTTGGGGTTCCTTCTGACTCCTCTTGAAAAGGGCTTTTTAATTATGATGAATGCAATAGCTCCAATCAGGCAAACAGCCAACAAAGCACCAATCACTCCTCCAACGATTGCTCCAACATTTGAGTCTGAAATAAAATATGAATTAAAACTGTGACTTGTATTGTTACCGTTTGTATCATACGTAGCTCTTGATATTAGCAATTGAACTCCTTGTGGCAAGTTTTTCAAATGTGTACCATTGCTGGTACATGTTCTGCATATTGTACCACCAGAAGACCAAGATTCCAGCACACCAGCATATGTAGCCAGTGTATATATTAAACATCAGAAGAAAGTGAGTGACCATATCACGGCGTGTCATGAACAGCTTAATCAGGAGTGACACGCCTCAGACATTTACAACTGAAAACCACGAGCGGGATATTATGCTGACAAACCTCAAATGATAATCGGGACGAATCTGTGTTTCGAAACCACGATTACAGAATTCTGACACGCCTATGGGAATCAACGCTGGCCTATCCTGCCCGATGAGGTGTAAAATTGATGTAGCTACTTTGTGGATTAAATGTTTCAGTTCGGCAACCTGATTTTCATACATGAATCTTATTAGTTAGTATTATTTTAAAGGCATATAGACATTTGAATACTGCATATGGTATGCAATCATATTCTAGTGTCAGAGTTATTGCTTATATATTGTAGAATCAGCTGAATTATTATGCTTTGTAACAATAATATAACAAAAATTAAAAAGACAAACATTTCACAACATATAGTGGTAGTATGATATACAGTCTGTCTCAAAGTCCTCCAAACCATAATATCTCTCCTTCAGCCAAGCCATTACTGTAATGGTATAGCCCTAAATGTCTGAGTCTAGATATTTCTCTATCTCCCATCTCATGGTGGCTCCTTTTCAATTCGAAGGGAGTTGATTGTTTGTAACAAAGTTTTATATTTTCAGAGTTTAAGCATAAGTCTGTTTGATATATTATAAAACGTATAACTGGGGATTGTTAACGGCGATGAGCAATTGGTAAACGTGAAACCTCAACACTAGAGAATAATGCCAATTGGAAAGAGCTTAAAGTGACTCACCATCTTCTTTTTCATGTGTAAAGTATTGGATTTCGAATCCTTTGCCGGCGATTTCGTTGTCGTTGCTGATTAAATAGATGCCAATGTGTTGCCTTGAACTTCGATATGTCGGTGTGTCGGTTCCACACCACTTTCCAAGAAGTTTGGCGTTCTTAGAGGCACCTGAAACGATACGCGTGTTATTGCGGTATGCGAGATAAAAGCACAAGGACGGTAATGTTGTATATTTGTGACTGTTTAATGATTGCACTGTTTTGTCTATACAACAATATTTTTTAACAAGGAGTTAATGATTAATGACTATGATAGTATGCCTACCGTCATGCACCTGAACTCTGTCGTTGACGCAACCTTCTGACATCTCAATATCTGACGTCACCACTTTTATGACAATGTTTTTACCAGTGTCGACTGTGTATAGATCCCAGGAATATTCCGCTTTCCTTAAGAATCATAGGAAAAATGTCAATTAAAATATAACCCTGAAACATAATGTGTATATCACACAAATGGACTGTAAAAGAAATGTACACAACAGATGCGAAACGTACATTTGATTACTCTAAGATAAACCAAAGTTACCGTTGATAGTTCAATGGGTAGTTTGGAGAGGTAAGGGTGCTTTCCTTCCTCACAGCATATGCGGTCTTACGAGTCCAGAAAGAGAGGTCATCTGAAAATCAATGTAAACTTGTTGGTTTTGTCGGCGACATATGACTGAGTAGACATGGAATCTATTATAAGCTTATTTCTCAATTTCTCTATTTCACAAAATAATTGTGTATATAAAGTATTTAATGGCGGTATTTTGATATGCATATCACAATACCATTCATTTTTATTTTGATAGGCATAATATACAAGTACCCTCGTCATATGTACATCACTATAACAGTGAGTCAGATATGACACTGTATGACACTGTAATTTTGTAAAACAACATAATAACTTCGATATATTAACTTTAAGTAATGTCTAACGTCACATCGCCTTCATATTCGGCCATATACACTCTTCAAAAAAACAAACGCATAGGTGTTTTGAGTATTCCAATTAGATTTTTAAGGACAAATCTTATGTTTGATTCCCGTTAATCATGTCATGTTTGTTGTGCATTGCGCGCAAAACACATCTCAAAATGTTTTTTTGTAAACGTTTATCAGCAAAAATGCAAAGGATGCAAGGAAATTGCTTTCAGAAAAAGTGTTCAGCACAATGCACGTGCAAAATGATGGAAACAAGAGTAGAGATACTGACTATAAAAGACCGTACAAAATTCATCAGTTCATTACGAATTTTCTGACGTGAACTGAGATCGAAAAATGCCAAGATTAACTGCAGCTGACCGAAATATCGAAATATTAAACGTTTGGAAGCAGGGGAGTCCCAGTCTGCTGTTACAAGACACTTCAACGTTCACCAAAGCACCATATCTCGAATATGGGATCGATATACCCGCACTAATTCGACTCAAGATCATCTTAGAAGTGGAAAACCAAGAGTGACCACCCCTGCTCAGGATCGGTACATCCGGTTACATCACCTTCAGAATCGATTTGCTACAGCAACGGACACTGTAGGGCAAGTGCCTGGTATGCGAAGAATTTCCGACCAAACCATCAGAAATTGTGAGACGGCCAAAAGTTGGATCTGTCTTGCGACGTCTACACCGTCAACGACGTGTCCGGTGCTGCAACAGAGTACAGGCCTGGGATCTCAGGAACTGGCGACGCGTTTGGTCCAGCGATGAGTCACGTTTTCTTCTTCAACGACGGGATGGAAGACAACGTGTATACCGACGTCGACATGAACGTTTTGCGCCGAACTGCGTTCGACAGGTGGATCGATTTGGTGGAGGGAGTGTCATGGTGTGGGGAGCCATAGCCCACACGGGTAGATCACAGTTAGTGGTTGCCCAGGGCAATCTTAACGCAAACCGATACATAGACCAAATTCTGCGTCCTCACCTCCTCCCAACTTTGGACCGCCAGAGGGAGCTGTTCCAACATGACAACGCTCGGCCCCACACAGCACGTGCAACAGTTAATTTCGTTGTTAATGAGAACATCAATGTCCTTCCATGGCCGTCCAAATCGCCTGATCTCAACCCGATTGAACATTTGTGGGACGAACTTGATCAACGCGTCCGTCAACGTCACCAGCGTCCCCACACACTGGCACAACTCGCCAACGCCTTACAGGAGGAATGGCGAAGAATTCCCCACGAATAAATCCGAAGACTTGTGCCAAGGAGGTGTCGAGCAGTGACGGCTGCAAGAGGTGGTGTGACCAGGTACTGACCATGACGCCTCCTTGTGGCTACACATGTGCGATGACTGAACTGAATTGATGTTGACAATGACGACAATGCTTTTGTCGATCACTGTGTCTAATTTCATTTGATTGTGTTTACGCATATTCTGTGCAGATACATTTACATCCGCTTAGTAAATATCCTTATTTTTTAACTATGCGTTTCTTTTTTTTTAAGAGAGTAGCTTTTCGATATCCTACCTCATAATTATAGGTTATCTTCTTTCGCTATAAATTGTGTTACACAGAGATTATATACCTTACATACTAGTATGTATTAACATGTACGATTTAAACACACTCGTGCATCGTACTACTAACCTTCTCGATACGAGAGTTCAAAAGTACGTGTAACCGGCTGTGATGTAGCCACGAATGTGATGAGGACATCTCTTCCCGACATCCTAAAACTTGGCAAGCCGATACCACAAAAACGCCAAATGAGGGGACTTGATCTAGAATTACCTGAAAAAAAGATGTTATTTGGACATTTATACTAGATATTCAAATATGCGTTAACAGGTGTACATTCCAGTACTAGTTCCTAGATCCAATAGTGCCAGTCGTCTACAAACCCGATTATTTCATTGTGACAAAGGGCTTCCAGACGTTAGGTTTTAAAACTCCAAAATAAGTATCTGTGAAAACTGGTGTCTAAGCCCAAACGTGTGAGAGCAAACTGGGGATGGATTAAAATAATATTAAGTTAATAGGATCGCACCATCATAAACCATTATTTGGTCATCTGTACAGCTGGATGATGCAATTATGTCAGCCTTTCTAACACGTATGTCAAGCACCTTCGTGACATTCTCCCTTCTCAACAACCACGAACAGGAACGGCTCCTGAAACATAAGACGGAGGTTTCTGCTTTAGTTTGGCATCTATCATCAGTTTATATCTATATTGCACATACAATAAGTGACATGCAAAAAGGATAGTTTTGACAGATGAAATGAGGTCACACAAACAGGTGCCACAACAAGGGATGTTAAGCATAGCCACGAAGCATCTTGAGTGTGTTTTGTCTATGTCTGCCTGTTTGGACTGGCTGGCAGGCACGTTGACATCATGATCACATTAACACAATATGCCTTCACGTTTCTGTTTGTTTCGTTGATGTTTAACGCTGCACTCAGCAATATTCCAGCTATATGGTGCGGCCTGTAAATAATCGATTCTGGACCAGTCAATCCAGTGATTGACACCATGAGCATCGATACACGGAATTGGAACACGATGACTGACCACTCGATCTCGTTAGTCGCCACTTGCGACAATTATAGTCACCTTTACGGCAAGAATGGGTTGCTGAAGAGCTATTCTATCCCGGATCTTCACCGGTCTTCTTACATGTACATATGGTGAAGTGCATTGGTATTTTAGGGTATTTTCTTATAGACATGACAAGACTTTCTTTCTAACACATGTGTGTCTGATTGTGTAGACTTTTCAAATATGAAACTGATGATAAAAGTATGTAATTTGTCGAATAGACTGTTTAAGACCGCAGGTGGATACGTACATTAGCATCATGAATATCTAAACACGTTATGTGTTACACTAGAATGCAAATTGTACGTATAAGTAATACATACGTATATTTGACACATGTGCAATATTTCATATCTTTCTTTTAACTCACTGAGTGGAGCCCTCCACATTCCCTGGAAATACGATTTTGCCGGATCTGGTTATGTCTGTGATGCCGATTGTAAAATCACAAGGCAGTGGTTCTGAAGGAATACAGAGCTTGTTATATATTTGAATATATAGTATGGATCCAATGCATGTGAAAAACTTATATGAGCCATTCTATGACAAAATGACATAAAAGCGGCTGTCGCTTCACCATGTGGGTAATAAACCCGTTTATTACCCAGTCGCCCTGATGAAGGAACTTGTAAAACAATATCATACTTGTAAAAACCCTTGGCATATAACGTGGACATGGGATAGCCTAGAAGCCCAAGCGTTGCTCGTGATGCCGCAAATCTTGGTTCGATTCCCCACAAGGGTACAATGTTTTAAACCAGTTTCTAGTGGTAATTTACCTGTAATATTGCTATAAACGGCGTAAAACCAAAGTCACACATTCGCAATATGATACCACGTGGCCCTCAAAATACAAACTGTATTGTATATACTTGACAATTGTCATGTAAAATCACTCCTTATGAATTATTGGATTCGTGAAATGCAACTATTCGATACATTCAATCTCGTTATATCCGGAGAAACTTAAATAAAAGTGCCTAAACCCTTTCCAAACCCATGTGCTAAAAGACAGAACGATTTCCCACTACATAATTAGTACGTGTCCATGCAAATGCCATATGTACATATGATACTAGGTGTTCGCGAAAAGCAATTGGGAGGACCAGTTGTATTATTCAAATATGTCACCTCTTGTTTGGAAGTATTGCAGATTGAATCCTCTGAACCTTGAAGTACTATCGGCCCTTAACAATAGCGTCATGACGTGTCTTGTACTCTGACGTTGTATCAGGGTCTGGTTTCCACATTCCCACGCACTGGGTGACTCATCAGTTGTTCCTGGGACAGAGATAGGCGTAACGAGATTGAACATAAAGTTAACACAAATTGGCCACAATAACCTCCGCCCATCCGTTTTATTACATAAATGAGCTTAAACAATTAATCTAACATATGTATAAGCTTTGGTTCAAGCAATTATTTTGGTGAACTCTAGAATTGTGTTTGAAATATGTTTTACCACACGTTAAAATGTGGATTTTTTTTATTACCTTGCCTGGCGCTGGGACTGGCCGGCTCGAAGTCATTATGTGTGTCATAGTGGGGTATCCATGTTAAACTGTGGTATTGCATATCAGAAAGCTCGCACTATAAAACCGACATAAACACACACGTCGCATTTAAGTTAAATAATAATGAACGCGACTTTAAAACCTTTTTTACTTCACCTCATGATCACCAATACCAAAACATTCCGTCGTCCGCCACATCGTTGTCCCCTTGTTAGGTAGTACAGACATAGTGCATTCATAAATAGAATTCCCTCATACATGTCCAATAATTAACACACAATGCATGCTGCTATCGACGCCATAACTCACCGTCACTAATTCTCAGATTACTAGGCTGGTATTGACATTGAACATCGAGGGTGGCATGCAGTTGAAAGTCAGTCCCAGTGAGGCGTACATTTTTGGTGCTATCTGACGCTGTTATGGTCCAAGGACAACGGATTTCCCTAGTGACAAAGATATTTGTGAGTTGCCAGCCACACATCACGTGTTATTTTTCATTTTACTGTCTCAAATTACGGTTATTTTTAAGTCGATTTAGTTGAAGGGACAGTCTACGTGAATGGATGAATGATGTTTTACGCCGCACTTAGCGATATTCTCGCAACTGTAATTAATTAGTCAGGGTGCAATGACACAATAAGCCACCACCCAATCATCATTCAAGTCAGTTGTGTCAAATTACAGTGACAAGCTGGGTACCTATCCTAATCGTGATCACTATGGGTATTCGGGATAAAGAGAAAAAAGATGAGCATGATCTATATTTCTAGCTATATCTGAATGGAAACAACAGATGGTAACGGTGATTGGTAACGGACGCAATTTAAACTATAATTATATTATGAAGAAACGACATTATTTAGACACATGAATTCATGTCAGCTTGGGAGTTAAGCTGTGCCTTACCCGTCGTAACTGTTTGGGTAGTTTGGAGATGTAACGTTTTTGGCAGCATCCGTAGCAGTCAGAGACCCACCACATGGAGGCACATATTCGTCTGAATTACAGAAACATCGACATTTGTATGACCCTCATTCATCGGTTAACACTCGTGACAATACAAAACATATTCTGGAAATGAACGTATTTTCCCTTATACATCAGCCGCACATGCATGTATGCAGTATAAAACATGTACACACACAGAGGAGATTTACTTTCCCGGGTTTCGGTATTGTAGACCGGGATTGGTGTTTTCACATCATCGTGGGAGGTCATGCACACGTTATTCATACTTTGTCCTAATAGGGGTATCCAACCTGAACCGGTCTCTACCGAACCGACATTTATTATTACTGTTGTAAAGTACATTGTCATCAACGCATATAAGAAACCGGCGTATTGCCTTCCAGTAGGGGTTATTTAGCACTTTGGGATCTGGTGACGTCCCAGAAGGTAAGCAAGTTATTTATCTATTCATTCAGCCATCATAAACGATTGCTGAGTAATGAGAGTTAACCTTTAAAAGGATGAAATACAGCACCGTCAAGTTGACGGAGATTTACAACCAACATGTTTATACTCGACCATAAAACGAGAGTAACTAGATGTACATGTATAGCATTCATTGGATGACAAAATAAAAGTATGTGAGCTACATTACCGGTAAAGTGCCCTTTCTTGTATCTCATCTGAAAGCCAGTGTTTGTTGGTGTCGCTGCTGTGTGAAATACAACTAACATCACGTAGCTGGTGCTAACAAACGTCGGCACATCCTTACCACAGAACTGGGATTTCTGGGTATTAATGGACTTTAGTGGCATCGAGGTTGCTTGAAACCCTGTATATGACACGAAGCAGTAAGATAATATCATTTTTGTAATGAAGAACATGTATGGCAACAGGATGAATCACTGATTTGAGAATTTCAATTCGGGCGTAAGAGTTATTGTGGTCTTCCCACATCACGGGTAAATGAAAATTTAGCAATCATGGAAGGTGTTCCAGCAGGCACATGATTTTTAAAGTCTAACCGCAATTTGATGTGCAGTTAGGGATCCCTATCTTATGATGGAGTACACAGCGCAATATGCATGGCTATAAACTTGAATGTGCCAGTACCATCTAATGCAGAATAAATATTATATTATTGTACTTAAAAGCTTCCTAGACACGCTAGATGAGCTTATAATTCTGGAAACCTTTATTGCATCGTGAATTATTTGCAGACATCGTTGTGACACATGCGCAAATATCCCTTTAAATCATGTTAAAAAGATGATGCTTGCTTGAAGGTCACTTATATTGTAAAGTGGTTATATGAGCTCACCGTCATACACTGTTACGTAGTCTCGTGTACATTCGCCATTTACTGCTTCGGGGAGATCTGATACCAGTACCTCGAGTTTGATTCGATAGGGATGGTTAGTGGAAAGATGGTATGTTGGGCGGTCAGAATTGCTGCAAGAGATGGGGGAAAATCCATGCTACTTATCAGTTTGATAGTTAGACAATAGCCGTTTTGCATTATCACCTTGGATTATCATTGCACTAGGGTAAATGAACAATTGGTGCGGTTATCGTTGTTTTAGTTCGTATTAAAGGAGTGCATTTTAATTAACGTCTGTGGATACAATGTTTGAAGTTCAATCACACCTCATGCCAAACAGTAGAGTGATGAATGTACGAAATGTGTTTGCAGTTTATTACAAGTAATACATTTTACAAACATTACACAAGCAGCACAAGAATTCAATGCACCTCATAGTAACTGCGCTGTGAGAAAATAAAAAGAAATACCTCAAATTTTCTTTGGGGTATCCTGGGGACCCCAGATACTTGTTTTTACCAATCGCCGTCAGCGATTCTCCAATAGGAAATCCCTAAAGCGTATATAGCGTGAAAAACAAAATTCATACCCCGGGTAAGAAAGCGGGTTTCTCGGCGATGTGATGTAGGAATAAGTAGACGCAGCGTCTAAATCATAGCTTAAGCAGTCTCCATCTGCAATGAAACGTTAAATTACCTTGATACGATTAACCCACTCTCCTACCCAGAGTTCCATGCGACCAGCATAGTACCTCTGCCACAGGCCAGCGCCATGTGATCATTCGTCACATCTTACACAGTCCATTGCATATGTTTTTCATCTGTTTCGTTTTTGACAAGTCTACATATCTAGATAAGATATGTCACAGAATGGTTAACTTTCATTGAGAAAATATCCTTAATCGTGAAAAACTATTTCCATTTGCGTAGCTATCCTATGTTTACATTGTTTGTACGGTTCCACGTTCTGTCATCGAAGCCCTACGGAGAGCTAGCGATACGGTCACTTTGATGTGTGAATATGTATTGTCATGCAACTCACTGTCGCAATTGTAGTAGCATATTTATAAAGTTATGCAACACAAAGCGCCCCCAAATGCTTGCATTAGTCAGTTCTATTCTGATTTCTGAAAAAAAGCGCGTTTGTTTACAAACAAGAGAAAAGTCCGGTCATGTGATATGCAAATTAGCCTGTGGCAGTGGTGTTATGCTGAGTCACCACTGCGCCGGAGTGTGCGATTAACCTTCACTTTCAACGAATATGTGGCTGGTGACTCAGGAAAATAGTTCACATAAAGCTCCTGGATATATGCAGTTTATGTTCCTGGAAATATGTATCTTATGTTCTTTGATAAATGTATCTTTTGTTTAGGATGTTCGCTGGTTATAAGGAATGATATCTTATAAACAAAATATTACAGTCTACATGTAGAATACAGTTTATTAATAAAGTCAAGCTTTCAATAATATTCCCTTCGATATGCCGTTGAAATCATCGTAGGTTGAAGGCAAATGTCTTCATTTCAACTAACAACTTTACCGTTTACGTCTGAAGGTTGTCTGTAGCTGATGTTGAAACCTCTTCCGTTGTTGGAGTCATCAGTTCGGTAGACAATATGCATCACATTTCCAGAGCTTTGTAAACAGTAACCGTTCATTTGGCCACGCCATGTTGCAAGAAGAGGACTTGCAGTAGAAGCTCCTGTTACATAACACAGCTAATACAGAATATGAGAGCTCACGTTGCATTTTAAGAATAACCTACGATCTACAAACAATTACGTAATTATCGAATTATCTGCGTCCAGTGCTAATAACTGTAAGTTCCTAGCCTTGGCGTGGAACTTTCAACACCAATTCACACGTAGACAGATAATTCGAAATTCTGAATTGCCTGTAAGTTACTATTTGACTCAAGTTGAGACACTAATTCAGGTCGTCTATTGTTGGATTAACATGGGGAAAGTGGACAAAGTTTTACAAATATTTTATTACGATACATGCGACTCATTAGGGATTGAGTGCAGTAAGAAGTTGTATAAATTGTGAAATAAGGAAATACAACAACGTTCCAATAACTTAAACCTGCTAAGGGTCAAATTGCGTTTCGGACATAATCCAGGATCAGTATACCTAATTGTGCTGGTCAGCTATTTTTCTTTATGTTAAACTTCACTCGTAAACTTGAATCATGTGCCTTTCTATTTGAACCTGTCCCTCAATGCAATTTGGCAGGTGCTAAATGTTTCATACAGGGATGTGTTTGCTGCTGATAAGTCTGAAGTTGGTGTTACCTACCTATATCCAGTTTGTTTCAATTGTTTTAGTAGATCACCCTTACGTCGAAAGGGTTAATGTAAATGTTCATACCGTTATATATCTTGAGAGTGTCCGGTAGATTGTCGCCGCCAAACTCTACATCTAAATCAAGAAGGTTGATTTGGACAAATGCTTCATTGTCTGCTGTAATAGTCCAACTGCATGATGATGCCCTGCAAAAATCCAGATAGATGCGTTTGTATTAACGGTTGTTTCCTTTAAAGCTTCAACATAATGTTGCTTAAAAATAATAAAATATGCATTTGCATTAACGAAATATTTAGATATCGTTTATTCATAGTTCATAGTTCCTAAACTGAAACTTGTCCCATGTCTATACTGTGAGAAATGTATTATAAGTAAGACTCTAATAAGAACGTTATTCCGTGGTTTTTGCCGAACAAGCGTTGGCCTAGATCGAAGTTTCAATATGTGTCAAACTTAGTAAATGCACTGTGAGAAAATAAAAAGAAATACCCCAAATTTTCTTTGGGGTATCCTGGGGACCCCAGATACTTGTTTTTACCAATCGCCGTCAGCGATCCTCCACATGTGGTTGGTATGGAACCTGCACCAAACATTGTATTGCATAAGTTCGCTACTACAGAATTACTGGTTTTGTATTCTGTATTGGTATTAACTTTCACCAATATTGTCGTTGTTCGTCGTTCGTTCTGTCATTACGCAAAACATCCAAGTAAGTGCCAAAACCACAAAACAATCGGCAGTGAAACATAAAAATAGTTTGTATTCATAAACCACTACTACTCGTTTATTTGCTACCACAGGAAAAAGTAAGAATGTAGGCACTGAAACATGAATCACAATATATAAATCGAATTTGTGTAGTAGTAGTAGTAGTAGTAGAAGTAGTAGTAGTAGTAGTAGTAGTAGTAGTAGTAGTAGTAGTAGTAGTAGTAGTAGTAGTTTATCTGTCATTAATATGTAACCATTCACTTTATGTATTAGTTCCTTAAACAGCTGTTATATAAAAGTTGTGCAATTCATTGTTCAATGCTTAGCCACACACCAGGCATATTATATTACATGCCAATTTAATTATATTCATAACAGTTTCACGTGATGAATTATTAATACACAGTAATAGACTGTTTACAAAAAGATAATACACCAGACCTTATTGTCAACTGGGGACGAAGGAATGTGTTTTATCAGTAAATATTAACATTAATAGTAGCATATCTGAAAAAGACCTATATTGTCTTCATTAGACACGCAAAAGATATTTCATTGTGCTATATGGTACGTAAGTCAGATCAACACATATTTGGCTTATCTAAATTTAATTATTTCAAAGATGACTTCTTATTGTAAAACCATGGAAACGTGACATACCAGATTTTTGCTTGTATTTCAAAAGAAACCCTTGTGCTTCATTGGTGCCATCAGTCGTGAAAACAACAGTCATGTTTGGTCCTGTACTCTCAAACCTAGGTGTGTTTGTTCCACAGAATGTCCCAAGTTCTGTCTTATTAGCTGATTGAAAATATGTAAAAAAAATGCAATAGTTTATACCACATTTGATCTTTCCCAGATAACTAATGGAACAATTACATAATGTCATAATTCTGTGATCGTAAATCAAATCGATAGCTGAAGGCATTTTTGAGACGATTGTATCGCTACAATTAACTTCTGTGAATAGTTAAGTTATTAATGGATCACCCGAACAACAATTTGCGCAAATGTAACTTTTAACGGAGGTTGGTATAGTATTATAATATATTGCAAGTATGATATCTAAACTTTAATTCAAAGTAGCAATTCTCGTCACTCTTTAGGTCCACTGTTGCGCAGACAGATGTGGAATACACAATGACTTACAGTTCGTCACAGACACTCTGTCACCGCTGCAAGATGGGGAAGTGTCGGATATGTTGGAGGTCATAGTAACCAGTTCGATCACAGCATCGTTATCCGCAGCAAAGATATTCCATCTGCAGTTCAGGTTCCTGGAGGGACAAAGATGAAAGTTACATAAGGGAAGATACACAAGCTTGCTGGGAGCTTGCAGTTAACAGAGGTTGCACATGTAAAAGAATAGATCACATCTATCCGCTTATCTGAGCTACCGGGCAAAGTATACACCCATGTATGGTGGTGGTTAAAAATGGAACAAACAAGCAATAGTTTGATACGGGTTTCATAGTTGTGTTTTCGGCCTTAGGTTTGCATGTTTAGGCGACTGTTTTCAACATAGTAACGTTGTGGTAACGTTTGTAATTGTTCAAATCCCATTTCAAGTGTATACTTTCATTTGCCCGGTGTAGTTTATGTAATCCTTCATTCATCCTCTGAATAGGCTATACATTATTTCACATGAGTAATCATTAAACTCATCACTTCATTAATACAAATTTAAACTTATTCCATAGTATTGGTTCATTCTATATTCCATATAATGAATACATTTTAGATAGATGGATGGATGGATAGGTGGATGGGTGGATCAATCGTTTCTCAATTGATCCTTTAATATATTCTTATATCTTACTTACTATTCCATTCGTCAATCTACAGTGTATCCATGTTATCATTCCAGCAACTCATCCATATTACCAGGACGAAACACTTAAATGACAAGGATTCCAAATTACTCGTGTTTACCTATAGTATTGAGTCGGGTACCCTGGTGACAGAATATATGAATCCATATCCGTCGCCAGTAGACTTAGTAAACAGTCTTCCCCTGTAAACAAATGTAGTGTTATTAAGTGTTGCATATGATGTAAAGTGTTATGGATGTGATAAACCAGTCCTGTGAATTTGGTGTCACGATCCGAAAAATATGGTAATGGGGTCACCTTGCAGGAACAACTATTATTGAGGTGCATATATCCATGGATCTCCCGATGTGTGTGTGTAAGAAAATTACATGCGGCACGAAAATTTAGCACATGCACCAAACGTTGAAAACTGGTTAATTTGCACATAAAGTTCCACGTCAATCGTCCTGCTGATTTCGGGATTTACGAAACGTTGTAGTGGAATGGTGTTTTTTGTAAATCATATAGGGATTACAAGCAAAATGGTCCATTGTCGAGAGTATAACAAGGTACAACTATACATTGTATTGCATTAGTGATGGCACAGCTACTACTGATGTAAAATTACGCAAACATCCACAATAAAACATTATTCTTCAGGATATAAATACCAAGACAGCTTACTCGGCACACTCTTGTATTGAGCGGAAAATCCTTTATTGACCTTCGACGCATCCGAGGTGAATGTGATCTTCATGCTGCTGCCTCCACTTTGATAGCTGGAAGTCCGCCTGCCACAGATCGTAGATAGTGTTTGAACTGCGCCTCCTGAAGCTGAAAAGGGGATTATCCTAATGAAAAGAAAGAAGCGGGAAGACCCTAAACTGTGTGTGACTGTACGCACATGTACATGTAGTATGCTAAGGAATACAAGCAACTGACAGTAGTGAAGAGAATATCAGTTTTTATATTATCAACACAAGTTATTATTGTTCGCTTTCATGAAGGTAGGTTCTTTATTGTGATCCGTATCAAACCTGTAACACATTCAACACCATGATAACTCCATTGTACGACGTTTTCATTTACCTTCCAAAACTGGCTCCCACAGAAGATATCGCTTGGGTGAGATCAAGCGATGTCTACACTGTAGATATCGCTGCAAATTGCATCACAATTGCATGTAGACCATTGTGACGTCATTTGTTACCATGACGTCACAATCAAATGACATCACTAATTGCTCTGCTACTGAAGCTGTAAGCAGTACTTTTTACACAAAAGTAACTGCTTATTACTGTCTACAAACTGAAAAAGTTGGAAGAATGATTTTGGATGATAAATAAAATCACCAAAAGACACTCGGGTGAGATTCGATATATATTTACCTATATCCGCTACGGTTACTTTATCATAGCCACATGTTTGTGATGACTGAATGTCCGTGTCTGTAAAGTCCACCTGCAGTCTGTGATTCGCATCCCAGGCTTGAATTGAGTATTCACATGATAAAGCACTGAAACAAACACATTACATTCACAGTTTTACCTTGTAATAATGATACCATTTTGTTCACATCGACAAACAATGGTATAATTGATAAAAAAAAATATTACGTACATAAAATATATATTTTACTTACACAGATAAGATGCCTTCCATAGAAACTGTAGTTATGTTGTAAGAGTAAGAGACTGAGTAAAGAAATGTTTAAACATTACTGATCATATGAATACACTTATACTTTTATAAGCAAAGTGTACACATCATGATTATGGTGTGTGTATTTTTTCTTGTTTAATTTGGAGATTCCGGGTATGAATATTGGTCGGGTGGTCATGCTCGGTAACTTGATTGATACATGTCATCGTATCCCAATTGCGTAGATTGGAAACCCGTGAAGATCCGGGGTAGACTAGGTCTTCAGTAACCCATGCTTGCCGTAAAAGGCGACTATGCTTGTCGTAAGAGGCGACTCAAGGGATCGGGTGGTCAGGCTCAATGACTTGGTTGATGCATGTCATCGATCCCAATTGCGTGGATCGATGCTCGTGATATCAATCACGGGATTGTCTGGTCACACTCGATTATTCACAGACCTACGGCACATAGCTGGAACATTGCTGAGAGCGGCGTTAAACAACAAACAAACAAACAAATGTGCTGTGGTTAACTGAGTTGCGATGGGTTGAATGTCAACTATAAAATATGAATCACATGTTTACTTCGACTCACAACACAATAGTAATAATACCTACTTGAAATAGGAATCGGGGTATCCAGGTGTGTTGAAAACCTGCTTATCACGTGTTGCGGTGTACGTAAACGTGCATGGTGATGCTTCTGAAAAGTGATAGGATCATTTGATCATGACGCAAATATGTTTTACATATTGAAGAAGTAAAGACACAGTTTAGTTAATAGAACGCAAGTGTTCTTGTCATTAACTGCAAATACATGAGGTGAGGTGAAATGGGGTTAAACGTCGCATTCAAGATTATTGCACTTATATAGCGACGTGCATGCACGTGTGTGTGGCTGCTTGTACTAGTCCGGACTTATAGTCCGATTTATAGTGCTAGCACACTGAGATACCATGCTGCAGTTTAATATGAATACCCCACTCAGACACAGTATACTGACTCCGAGCCGACCAGTCCTTGTTTTAGCCCCTTAATGCCGAGCGTCAGACAGGGTAACAACAAGTACCATCTTTTAACGTCTTTAGGTATGACGCGGGCTTCCGGGCGGACGCTCTTCCACTAGACCACGGAGGCGGTCTTGCAAATACATGAACAAATATACATGTACTGTAGGGTATATTTAATTTAACGTGTAAGGGTGAATGTAAGCAATTGAGTTTTGATTTCCGCTTTCAACACGATTTCTCACGGGGAATGTCCCGAGATATCAGCCTTAAGTAAGAGGTAAACACACATTCGTCACCACTCGCCCCTTTCCGTAACCTTCAAGAAGATTCCCGGAATAACACGAGTTGGTCACGAATGGTAAAAACAACTGACGAAATCGTCGAGTAATGCAATCTGGGATTAGAACCCAATACCATGGAATCCTGGTCCGACAAGAAGGGACACAACACTGCACAGCGTATTCAGGAGCCTAAGGCGACTGTACCATTAGTACAAGCATTAGAAATAAGCCAAACGTGATCTTTTCCACATTTGAGTAGGATACTCCTGAGGACAGAGATATAATCTATTTACCCGAAAATTCGATACATCCAATTAGACACCTACAGGTTAAACTATAAATATATATAGTGAGACTAAACTTTGTTCTTTGCTTTAAGTTTACTGTTCGACACAAACGGGAATTCGACACATACGAGTTCGAGACAGCTAGATTCGACTGTTTATCTAAACATTGTGTAATGAGGACAATGCATGAATTTCTGAACATTAGAGCAACATATTTTTAACAGCTGTGTAGTTCGTATTTTCTCAACAACTAAGGTGCTACATACTGTCTCCATGGTAGTATCGGAACTGGAAGCCTCTTGTCTCCAGAATACTGTTGGAACGAAATTCAAGGTACATGTTCCGTCCAGATGAGGTCACAAACACACGACTGTCTCCACATAACGTGTGTAGCTTGTTGGCAGAGTTGGAGTCACCTGGAAATATAAATGACAATGCAGGAGAATAACCAGCCTTGATAATATGAATGGATCACTGAAAATCAGTGGTTAGACCAGGTGTTCACGAAGAAAATGCAAAAAAATGTAACAGAAAATATAAATAGCATTATTGACATAGCTCAAAACTGAAAATGTAAATGCATTTAATAACTTGGGTAAACGATACAAAGACACCATGTATGTTTTACATGTGCGTCTGTCTGATGCTAGATTTCTGTTGCAGTTCATTCATGACTTACACAGACGTTAATTTAGATTGACCTGGATTTATTATTGGCAGTTCAATGTACATATGCATAAGATATTTGTTGAGATTGTATTGTCTGTAACATTGTCCTAACTGTGGAAAGCTACTGTAGTTCTATATACTAGTAAACGATGGCATTACCGTCATAGATGATAAGGGAATCGTCAACACAGCCGCTGGACGGTTGTATCATCAAGTCCACTGTTTCCAGGATGACATTCTGGGTAGAGTTGGATGAACTGAGACGCCACCAGCAGGTCAGTGATCTAAATCAAAATAACTCACACGTTCCTCAGATTGAATGTGCACCCGACATATAAATCACTGTGTCCAGCTGCGTCTCTCAGGGCGTGTTACAAACCTTTGTTCATGGGGTTCTAATTCCTCTTTCTCTCTGATTCTGTTTCCTTTTGAGCACCATTACCGTGGGTTTCACCGAAGGAAACGTGGAAGATCTGCATCCCTTACATGAGCATAGCTTTCCACAAAGATGACACGCCACATTGTATCTGTTTTAAGCACCATTACCGTGGGTTTCACCGAAGGAAACGTGGAAGATCTGCATCACTTACATGAGCATAGCTTTCCACAAAGATGACACGCCCCATTGTATCTGTTTTGAGCACCATTACCGTGGGTTTCACCGAAGGAAACGTGGAAGATCTGCATCACTTACATGAGCATATCTTTCCACAGAGCTGACACGCCCTATTGTATCTGAAATACTGTTGAACATGGCGTTAATAAAAAAACTCATTCACTCAATCACTCACTCACATAACACTTGGCATTATTTCACTTGACGACATGTTGTGGTTTCCCATTGTATTCATTGCAGAAATGTCACCATCGCTTCATACACGTGATGTATATATGGCGACAACGTAAGTGCATTCAAAAACAAGAAAAGGCCAAAGCCTTATGGGTGTTCAATTTTTAATCAATATAAAATAAGAAACGAAAAAGATATGCCGCTTCAGGCAACATTTTGGAACTCGAAATTTACTGGGACAAACATGATCAAATTGGCAGTGTTATCAGAATATTCTCCAGCAACATCTATCAGAAGCATCAAATACTCGTTTCTCTCCATGCATGCATGGTTATATAATCTGGAACAAAATAAGTATACATTTGTATTGATTCAACTGCATGTATATAGATTCAACTGAAATTAATCTATATATGTAGGACTCTGATTCATGGCGGATTCTCGGATCAATGGCAGATTCCACTCGTGGGGCAGATATTGTCACATACTCAGATCTATGGCAGATTATCACACAATATTAAATTATCATACAATAATAACACTTTCTGTAGCGCTAACGTTGTATATATTCGTGTATAGAGGCAGACTTTCGATGAGCAATAGTGTGATTTCTCTGGAATAGTTTTATCATTTTTCCCTTTGGAACAGCATCGTCGGTGCTGGACTTGCACATCGGCACTTCTCTAATCATGTTCCCCGTTTCATCGTAAAAAATAATTTTCAAAGACCTTCCGCACCATCCTCTCATTTACCGGAATTGATCAACTTCCTGAATATCTTCACACTTCCCATCTTCGGATTCAGAGCCTTTACACGAAGAAGTCCTTGGATTTGTAAATAAATCATTTTAAAATGATTCGGCAAAAGTGTGTTTCGATACTGGTTTCTTCCTCTGCCGAAATAAATCCGCCAAAAGAAAACCTTCATTTTCTAGGTGCCCGGGTTCGACTGATCGCTGTGTCTATCGGTAATGGACGTCATACTTACATGACGTCTTCTTAAGCATGACGTCACATAACAATGGAACTTGTTGTTAATTCACGGATAAGACATCATTGCAAACATGATATCACATAACAATGAGAATCAGCCACGGATTAGAGTCTCGCCACAGATCTTAGTCCTACGTATATACTTACTTGTCATATTTGATAGGATAGCCTGGTGAGGTTAGAAGCTGCTTGTCAACCACTGCGGTTAGATTCTGATTACACTGTGTAGCTGTAATGTGAAATATATGATATGTAGCAAGGTAGACATAGTGATTAATTTTTATGTCAGTTCAAAATGTCTTACAATCACCCATTCTCACTAATGAGGTGCATTTGATGTCTACATGAACGTCGGAAAGACATAACATCTTTTGTACACAATTAAATGTTTCTAATAAATTGTCTAGATACAGATTAAACACAATGACACTGAGATCAATTGTAGTATATCATGGCGAAATGCTAAATAAGCAAATTGATACCTACGTTACCTGTCGCACTTAATACACTAGACCAACAAAGACATTATTTAAATATTCGTAAGAAAACGTGTTAAATAAACTGTAAAATACTGCAACATTGCTTTATCATATGTTGATCCCAATAACGTGGATCGATGCTCATGATAACAATCACCAGATTGTCTGGCCCAGACTCGATTATTTACAGACCACCGTCATATAGCTGGAATATTGCTGAGTGCGGCGTAAAACAACAAACAAACAAACTGTATTATATGTGTTTGTTGTCTTGAATTATGTTCAAAGTTGTAGAGTGTTGGGCTGGTCTAGTGGATAGAGCGTCTGTCTGGGGAGTGGAAGGGGGGTGGTTTGATCCCCTGACCGCGTCGCAATAAATGGCGTTGAAAGATATTACCCTGGCGTTGGGTATTACAACAATTGCATAGAATAATTTATCCATAATGGGAAATAAAACTCTCTGGCGAAAGAATGTATACATTGAAAATATCAATTACAAACGTCATCTAATCGCTGAAAACAGTGGACAAAATACTGCAAACCATGATACCCGTATCAAAATACATCACCATCAAATACCCGTTTCCTGTTTGTTTCTTTTTAGGGGGGCACGGGTGGCCCAGTCGTCTAAGGCGCCGTGCAGAGTTGCGTCCCTTGGGCACGCCAGAAACCTATGATTGTGGGTTCGAATCCCGGTTCGCCCCGATTATGTGTCTAGGTTTGTCAGCACCATACCCGTGCTCGTGGGTTTCACCGGAGTGGTAAACGTCTGAGACCTGCATCACTTCGGGCTTTCCTCCCATATTAAGCTGACACGCCGTGATATGACTGGAATACTGTTAAAAACGGCGTTAAACCCAACTCACTCACTCATTGTTTGTTTCATTATAAGCCACCATCAAATATGGGTGCATACTTTCTATTACCCGCCAGTATAAATGATTTCTAGCCACGATCTGACATTCCCCAGACACAATAATCATATGTTGAACATATTCATGTATAATCCCTGAAGCTACATTCTTGAAAGTTAAAAGTTTGTGCAATAGACCATGTCGAAATGAAAGCTTTAGGATACGTTATTGTGTAACAGACATGCATTTAGGATGCCTGCTGGAATGGTGTCACTTTCTAGCCACTATCGTCATACTTTTCTTCACTTATTGTATCGCTTACAATACACGATATGCTTGATCCAACAGTCACTGTCGTCAGATAGTATGCCATTCACAGCTAATGTTTATAGTTTATAATTCTGACGGTTGAGCGTTTCACGGAGTTTGTGATGCAGCTCCTGTCGAAGTTCAGGTCATTATTTCCTGTACACCTTTCAGGTGCATGTATTTTCTGGATATGGTAACTGGTTCTTGTTGCGTGAACTATCCTTAACATACAGACTCGAATTTTGAGATGCACACATAGAGGCCATTGTCCCCGTGATACAATACAGGGACAACTGCAAGGCTTTGTCAAGCGTTTGGATATTGAGGTATCCATTCACGGTTCACCGCAATAATGATAAATCCATCGACTTTGCTGTCTGGCACGAACAATATCAGACTTTGTTGACTATGGCTACACTTCCTTGTTTGCTTGGCGATGATTTCATTAGGGAAGAGACTGCATTGATTAACTCAGTTTGATAAACATGCATTGCTTTTAACCGTAATTAAGAGTCACGAATCGTTATTCGATCTCCTTGTCACTCACATGCTTTTAGTCCAAGGGAAAGAAGCTTAAATGTAAACTTTTCCATAATGATCATTCGCGGATCCAGAGGGATCCAAATTTGTTTGTGAAAACTATCATTATTAAATCTCCACACCACCCAGGCATAAGTCACATGGTTTTAATAGCCCAACACAATTATTATTTTCGTTAAATTAAAGTCGGAAGTATCTACAATAAAAAAGGCAGAGTGAGTGTAGGCGAAATAAGATGTAGGTAGAGTGAGTGTAGGCAACATGAGTTGTAGGCAAAGAGTGTTGGCGAAATGAGCTGAAGGCAGAGTGAGTGTAGGCGATTGAGTTACCGCCAGGATAAGTAGGCGAAATGAGTTGTAGGCAGAGTGACTGTAGGCGAAAAGAACTGTAGGCGAATTGAGTTGCAGGCAGTGTGAGTGTAGGTGAAATGAGTTGCAGTCGGAGTTGTGTAGGCGAAAAGAACTGTAGGCAGAGTGAGTGTAGGCGAAATGGGTTGTGGGCAGAGTGAGTGTAGGCGATTTAGTTACCGCCAGGATAAGTAGGCGAAATGAGTTGTAGGTAGAGTGACTGTAGGCGAATTGAGTTGCAGGCAGAGTGAGTGTAGGCGAAATGAGGTGTAGGCAGAGTGAGTGTAGTCGAATTGAGTTACAGCCAGGGTGAGTAGGCGAAATGGGCTGTGAGCAGAGTGAGTGGGGGTGAAATGAGTTGTAGGCAGAGTGAGTGTAGGCGAAATGACTTGTAGGCAGAGTGAGTGTAGGCGAAATGGGTTGTAGGCAGAGTGAGTGTAGTCGAATTGAGTTACAGCCAGGGTGAGTAGGCGAAATGGGCTGTGAGCAGAGTGAGTGGGGGTGAAATGAGTTGTAGGCAGAGTGAGTGTAGGCGAAATGACTTGTAGGCAGAGTGAGTGTAGGCGAAATGGGTTGTAGGCAGAGTGAGTGTAGGCGAAATGGGTTGTAGGCAGAGTGAGTGTAGGCGAAATGGGTTGTAGGCAGAGTAAGTGTAGGCGAATTGAGTTGCAGGCAGAGTGAGTGTAGGCGAAAAGAACTGTAGGCAGACTGAGTGTAGGCGACTGAGTTACAGCCGGGGTGAGCAGGCGAATTGAGTTGCAGGCAGAGTGAGTGTAGGCGAAATGGGCTGTAGGCAGAGTGAGTGTAGGCGGAATGGGCTGTAGGCAGAGTGAGTGTAGGCGAAATGGGTTGTAGGCAGAGTGAGTGTAGGCGATTTAGTTACCGCCAGGATAAGTAGGCTAAATGAGTTGTAGGTAGAGTGACTGTAGGCGAAAAGAACTGTAGGCGAATTGAGTTGCAGGCAGAGTGAGTGTAGGCGAAATGGGTTGTAGGCAGAGTGAGTGTAGGCGAAATGGGTTGTAGGCAGAGTGAGTGTAGGCGAATTGAGTTGCAGGCAGAGTGAGTGTAGGCGAAAAGAACGGTAGGCAGACTGAGTGTAGGCGACTGAGTTACAGCCAGGGTGAGCAGGCGAATTGAGTTGCAGGCAGAGTGAGTGTAGGCGATTTAGTTACCGCCAGGATAAGTAGGCGAAATGAGTTGTAGGTAGAGTGACTGTAGGCGAAAAGAACTGTAGGCGAATTGAGTTGCAGGCAGAGTGAGTGTAGGCGAAATGAGTTGTAGACAGAGTGAGTGTAGGCGAAATGAGGTGTAGGCAGAGTGAGTGTAGTCGAATTGAGTTACAGCCAGGGTGAGTAGGCGAAATGGGTTGTAGGCAGAGTGAGTGTAGGCGAAATGGGTTGTAGGCAGAGTGAGTGTAGGCGAAATGGGTCGTAGGCAGAGTGAGTGTAGGCGAATTGAGTTGCAGGCAGAGTGAGTGTAGGCGAAATGACTTGTAGGCAGAGTGAGTGTTGGCGAAATGGGTTGTAGGCAGAGTGAGTGTAGGCGAAATGGGTTGTAGGCAGAGTGAGTGTAGGCGAAATGGGTTGTAGGCAGAGTGAGTGTAGGCGAAATTGGTTGTAGGCAGAGTGAGTGTAGGCGAAATGGGTTGTAGGCAGAGTGAGTGTAGGCGAATTGAGTTGCAGGCAGAGTGAGTGTAGGCGAAATGAGTTGCAACCAGGGTGAGTGTTGACGAAATAGGTTGTGAGCAGAGTGAGTGGAGGCGAATTTAGATGTATGCAAAGTGGGTTTGAAGAACAGCCACGTCACACCCTGTGATTTCACTTTCTAACAAGACGTGATCAATTGTCAACATTTCGCAGATGGCAAAACTTATATAGTGCAGTGCAGTTTTAGTATAAGATGAGTACATGAAGATTCTCGCTCATATCTCTATATTTGATCAGGTGTGGCTCAATATATATCTCAGATTTAAAACAAACAAGAATGTGTTTTATATAGTGTATCGACACAATTGAATTGTATAAACATGTTTTTTGTCACAGGTGCAGAGGAAGTGCGATGAATCACATGGTTTCGGTGTATCTATAATTGGATTTTCTGTCACTCTTGCTAAAACACCCTTTGTGGACTCCTTGCACAGCATTGTATCTCAGTGGTTAAGCGCTATAAAACCGTCATTGATCCAGACTAGTACAAGCAGACAGACTGATACACACCCGCGTGCGTGAAGCGACCTTCACCTCACCTCACCCTAATTCAGGTAACCGGAAGCTGTTACACTGATATCCTCGTGGGTGGGCACAGGTAGAAATAGTTAATTATTTATGTACAGCACTGCCACCAAAGATAAGAAATAACGATTCAAGTTAAGAATATCCCGAACTGAATTTGTATTGATTGCTTGTTTGTATCACCGATCAACATTATACACCAACGAGATTATTCATGACACGGAGATACAATTACCCGTCGAGACCCTTTTGATCATATCATTCAAAGTGAGACGAAGGCTGACCTATAAAATTGCCTCAGACTAAAAATAGCCAGTGGTCTCAGGTAGAAGAAACGCCGAGAAAATCTTTATCACTCTCCTAGCAACGTGTGTTTTGTCTGCATATATCAAACATTTATCCCACATAATGGGGTTGTCTTTTTCGTCACATGACATTAACATTCTGGATCAAACAAGGCATGTATGACGACCGGAGTACATTTAGCACAGCTGTGAACACTACATGTGTTTTGCTGTAAACACAAGGGTATATTGGTGTTGTCACCGTGACATAACATTAACATTCTGGGTCACACCAAGCATGAGTGACGACCGGTATACGTTAAGCATAGCTGTGTACTTTACCTGTTACCAGCTGTAAACACAAGGTGGCGCAGTAAGACATATAACAAGAGGATTGTCCTACCTGCGGTAGCGTGGAGGCTGATATATACTTGTACCATCAGACAGGTGATGCTACACATCCAGTAACTCCAGTCCATGGCGACATATGTGTATATCCTGGCTCGATACTAGATCTGTGACACATGCGTTATTTATTGTCCTCCTCTGCTTTCGAAATCTTTTATTGCAGGTGAGCGCTGTGGTGACGTCAGTTTGTCGCTATAAGGACTGAATGCGCGCTCGCTGAAACAGTATATGCAAATATAACCGAACCGGTATCACACGACCTGTTTGTATTGGTTTTACTGAGAACCTAAATGTGTGAGATTTCACGCGAACATTACATTTGTAGAATAGTCAATGTTTAACGACCTTAGGTATTACACGTTCGTTTCTCTGTCATGAAGAATTGAAAAAATCCAAATGGAGGCGACATACTCGAACCGCAACACACTTCACTTTATAACCCCACGGGCGGTGTTTAAACATTCATTGACATATTTCGCAATAGCTTGTGCGCGTTAAACGACAGTGTTAGAAACAGTACTTGAAGATCACATCTAGCGATCTGATTAAAAAATGTACACAAGCTCCGTTTCTGACACCCTCAGTTCCGATCAGAATATTCATATGATATTGGTCGGTTAATATCACCAGACGATTACCATTTATACAAGAATACAAAATGAGAAAAAATGTATTCCTCGGATAGCTATAAGGTTCATTCTCCACTACGTGTGCATATTACATGGGTTTTATAGTTCTGCTTCAGCTGGTTCATTGACAAACATCACCGGTTGAGATATATACATGTATGATATGGCTGCGTCTTACATGTGCCATTTGTTTAAACATGATACACTGCAAATGTTTTACCCCTTTTGTGCCGTGTAACATACGTTACACAATCATTTGAAAAACAATAAAACTCAAATCAGTATTGACATTTCAATTCAAAATAATTTTTTTGCTGAAAAACAACTTTATTCTGAATAGAAAATTATACCAAAAACACAGGTACATTTGTCCACAAGTGTGTCACATTATATTTATAAATGTTATCGCAAATAGGGCACTATATATTAAATTCATAGAAACATATTTTTTGTTCACTAATTCTTTTAGACATCTACGTGTTAATGTTGAAAATACAGTACAGTGAGTTTTACACACATATATTAGAGGGCACTTGTATTATTGCTGGAGATAATTTAAGTTCATTGAATTAGTGAATTAAGTCACATGTGTTTTAAAGGAGATCTATTGAATCAACAGATTTTAAAACATGTTAAATAGTCACATAATGTGCATATTTAAACGAAAAAGCCATATGTTATTTCATTGTTATCTAAAAGGAAACAAACAAGTGCCCTGGTCCAACTACCAGTACGTGTGTATATTGAAATATAGCAAGCCAGAACACCCGATCCCGTTAGTCGCTTTTTACGACAAGCATAGTCGCCTTTTACAACAAGCATGGGTTGCTTAAGACATATTCTACCCCGGGTCTTCACGGGTCTAATCTACATGACATTTAGGTGATGTTTCGGTTACTCTTGGTGTATTAAAGACGCGAAATGGGGTATTGTGTTGCGTTAGAAGATGTGTTAGAAATTGATTAAAAAAAAATATATCATGGATATGTTTTTGCCTTTAGAATGCTTTTTCAGGTAATAGACAAAGTGCAAATAAGTGTTTGTCAGTTTTATTTGACATATGTGTTTTATTGGATATACATGTACGTATATTATCGACAATTAAAGATCAGTCAGAGACGGATCCATGGTTTTTCAAACGGTTTATTCTGTGAACAAAAAGTGTTTGGGGGATAGCCACGTGTGAATGTGGTGTGTATGTTTCGGGAAATCATAGCCCTATGCTAATTGTTTGGTGTAAAGACAACACAATGAACAATATTTTGACAATGGTAAGCGTCAAGCTACACCTGGCATGCTTTTTATAACAAGAATAACTGTCTCACGAAAAAAAAATAATTAGATAAACATTCAATTTATTTAGAAACGTGAGGATTGACAAAATATTTTTCTCACTGATTATTGACCACACAGACAGGGTTTTCTAGCCAATATCTAAATGATTTTTACACGTTGCAAATTTGAAACTTTCCAGTTTGAGTTTCTGGTCTTTCCGTGCTGACATTTGATTGATCCTCTTCACTCGATAGGTCTATCTGGCTTCCCACGCTACTGTCCAGACGTTTTAGACTGACCACGGGCTCATACTGACATGGACGAATATGTGTGTGGTCATTGAACGAAAATTGAACATTTTCATCCGAGACATTGTCAGGTAATGCCATGGCGAACACTTTACAGAAACAGTGATCGTCTTCAAGTGAGTTGTCCACGATGATTGTTTGTTTGTTTGTTGTTTTACGCCGAAATAATCAATATTCCAGCTATATGACGGCTGTCTGTAAATAATAGAGTCTGGGTCAGACTATCCAATGGTTGACATCAAGAGCATCGATCCACGCAATTAGGATACGATGACATGCATCAACCAAGTCTGGCCACCGGATCCCGTTACTCGCTTCTTACGGAAAGCATAGTCGCCTTTTACGACAAGCATGGGTTGCTGAAGACTTGTCCTATCACGGATCTTTACGGGTCCTGTCCACTATCACATGATGACATAAACTCTCTGTAATTTCCGGAGTAGGTTTTTAACGTTTTTTGATTGCTTATATTGACCTTAGAAAAAATATTTGTTTTACTGTCTGAAAAGTGATTTAATCCCATATTTAATATTTGCATTGCCTTTAATATACAAAATAATTTCCATTGAACAGAATATACTGACTGAGTGGGTATTTAAGACATAATACTGCAATACCATTGAAAAAGATGCATCAACGTTAATTACAGACACATTACCATACTACCAGATAACGTCACAGACAATTTTAGAATCACTCACTCACTCACTCGGGCACATGTAGCTTTATGGATATATGCACTTATTGTCATCTTTATAGAGCGTCGAACTCCAGACATAAGTGGTTAAAACACATGAATAAATCTAGATTGGATAAAAAAAGGCTACAAAACCCTTTCCATATCCAATACAAATATCGATTGTACGATTCCGACTATGTCATGAGCATGTGTTTATGAATCACTATCAAATAGTAATGATACCAGGTGTACGCGAAAAGGTGAGCGTATCCTGGCCCACCGGTGGCACCCGTCGCAAACATATGCAAAGTCAAGTCCATTGTTCACCTGAAAAAGCACGGGAACATACATCTTCCCGAGGCAAGAGAGTTAACTGACTTTAAAAGTCCAGTTTCCACCCTTGCCGAACTAGGCTGGAATTCCTGGGCTCGATCGTAGCGCCACCAGTGGCTATTACGAGTTATGTCCTTTCTATGCCTCTCCTATTGACCAATCAGATTCAACCTCTCGTATCACTTGCATTTGATTCAAACAAAACGGTGGCGCCCAGTCAAGACGATCTGATTGATAATCAAGATCTATATTGTGATAAAACGAGTCTTACATCGCGAAGTGCATCAAATCACGTGAGCACCTTGATTAAAAGCATGAACAGATTTAGAAAATATCTGTTGACAACGAGTTAGCAGTGCACATGCTTTGCAAATCCTGCAGTCGACCGAAATCTGCATGACACTTTACGAACCGGATTTTGATTTCGGTGCGCGATTTTGATTGGACTATGCATAGACTCGTTAGTCTAGCCAAAATCTAACTCCATAATACCAAAAGCTAGAGCTGCAGGAATATTGCTCGACATGAAGGGAAAATTGACTTTAGGAAACTTGAAGTCATCCCACTTGTCATACAGTCTTTTGTCACTCTGAATCTTTATGCATAGATCTAAGTATGAAACAGATGAGGCGGTCTCACTGGTCTCCTTCATTTCTAGTTCAGACAGGTAGGTAAATCAGTGGAAGGGACAGCTGGGTAGATCAGCGGGAGGGACAGGTGGGTAAATCAGTGGATGGGACAGGTGGGTAAATCAGCGGATGGGACAGGTGGGAATATGAGGGAGGGACAGCTGGGTAGATCAGTGGAAGGGACAGCTGGGTAAATCAGTGGAAGGGACAGCTGGGTAAATCAGTGGAAGGGACAGCTGAGTAAATCAGTGGAAGGGACAGGTGAGTAAATCAGTGGATGGGACAGCTAAGTAAATCAGCGGAAGGGACAGCTGGGTAGATCAGCGGAAGGGACAGCTGGGTAGATCAGTGGAAGGGACAGCTGAGTAAATCAGTTGAAGGGACAGCTGGGTAGATCAGCGGGAGGGACAGCTGGGTAAATCAGTGGAAGGGACAGCTGGGTAAATCAGTGGAAGGGTCAGCTGGGTAAATCAGTGGATGGGACAGCTGGGTAAATCAGTGGAAGGGACAGCTAAGTAAATCAGTGGAAGGGACAGCTAAGTAAATCAGTGGAAGGGACAGCTGGGTAAATCAGTGGAAGGGTCAGCTGGGTAAATTAGCGGAAGGGACAGCTGGGTAGATCAGTGGAAGGGACAGCTGGGTAAATCAGTGGAAGGGACAGCTAAGTAAATCAGTGGAAGGGACAGCTGGGTAAATCAGTGGAAGGGACAGCTAAGTAAATCAGTGGAAGAGACAGCTAGGTAAATCAGTGGAAGGGGCAGCTGGGTAGATAAGCGGAAGGGGCAGCTGAGTAAATCAGTGGAAGGGACAGCTAAGTAAATCAGTGGAAGGGACAGCTGGGTAAATCAGTGGAAGGGACAGCTGGGTAAATCAGTGGAAGGGACAGCTGTGTCAATCAGTGGAAGGGACAGGTCTTAAATCAATGGAAGGGAATTGGCTGTTTGATTGTTGTTGAACGACATCATATCATCGATTTTCCTGAAGCTTAAGTTAAACTATTTGGCCTTGTTTTGACTTTGCCAATTCGAACAGAAATTCCGATTCATATGCATAAAGAAACAGATCTACAATTGGTGCCCATGGGACTGCCTACTTCTTGCCTAAATGTCTTACCCCCAAATATTACGTGGATGTTATCAATGAGAAAGTCCATCTTTTCACATATTGTTTTCTCAGTAAACTTCAGATGGCATTTGCTTTCATTTTTCACAAATTGTCCTGAACCTCAGAATATATATGTAGATATTATTTATGTAGATTATATAGATACGTAACTGTCTCTGCGTTCACCACGTTTTGTAACAAAATCCCCATGGATCAAGGAATGAAGTTTCTCCTTACATTTGTGGTAAGGAATAGTGGTGTACAAAGTTGAAAAATCAAATGTTTTGACAGAACGGAACTTGGTTCTTTTCTGAGATTGCAAAATGTCAAGCAAACGCTTTTGACTTTTTGAGAATCCTCATGGTATTAATTCCATTTGTCTCAAATACGTTTTATGAATATAAAGAATGTCCTTCCTTGATTGTATTAAAGATTATGGTTCGTCTTTGAGACAGGGATTTGGTGGTACATTTGCTGGACCCAGCAATACATCACTCTTTGTACGGATTCTTATGGATCTTTGGAATCCAGTACAAAAGAGGAAGTCAAGTCAAAAGTTGTCAGTACTGATTTACGCAAAGAAAGGGGTTGATAAAAAAGCTCTAACCTACTTGTTTTACAATCAAATGCCCAATTCTGGTGTTTGCCGTCGGGATTTTCTTGGAATACTGCTAAGTTCGGCGTAAAATCATACTCACTCAATTTTGTTTAGGACATCTTAAGTTGTAGCAACAAAATTTACCCCTGTTCTGCTCGACGAAGGAGGGCCGTCTGCAAATGAATATTCCCTAAAAGCTTTTTGTTTTAAGGATGATCATATCCCAAACAAAACCCAATAAAACAAACAACAACGTAGTAGATTAAGCAGCTGTTATTCACCAGAAGAACACAATAGAGGTCAGTGTGAAACACGTAACCAACAATGGATTACGTCAATGAGGTAGCGTGACGTCATTCGACATTGGTCTTCAATTCCGCCAACATGGAAGAAGGGTAGTTAAACCAACCTACAAACAAAAAACAAACAGGAAAGCTCCAAACTTGAACAAGATGTAAAAGTGTAACAAACACGTGCCAGTCAGCCCCTTCAACTCGTGTTTACATTATATTAAAATTGCAGATCTATGAAACAGAAGCAGTTTGTTACCTATAAAAATGTACAACAATGTGAAGATATGTATTGGTGAGGCTGGTCATGCCTATTCCATTTTTTAACATAGAAATAATACCAGAAATGTATTTAACAACTTTTCGATCTATGTTTACGCAGATGTTTAACGAAGTTCAGGTGCGTTATACATACCCTCAATATACAATTATACAGGCATTCCAAAGATAATGATGTTTTAACATCAGTTTGTCCTTTCTGCCAAAATTACCAAGAAGATGAATATCATGTGTTATTAAAATGTCCAGTGTAATGAAGAAAATACAATCAAACACCTGCTTAACTACTATTACATGTAACAGAGAGAGAGAAAATTTGTAAGTTAATGAACAGCAAAAATTTCCATATTCTTCTCAGTTTGCAGTTTTTTGTAAGAAGATGATACACTGAATATTAATAAAACCCAAAAGTGCACCTCTGTTCAGATCCAATTAATATTGAAGTGGTGCTCCATCACGAATGTTCCTACGACAAAATGTCATTGTACTATTGGCCTCATGGCCACATGTACGAAATAAATCTGTATGTCTGTCTGTTACATATAATTACCATCAACACCATATATACAAACTTCAAGTAAAGCAGTTTATTTGGGGCGTTTTCTGACAGAAATACGACATGGACCGATATGTTTATTCGGAACATATATATGATATTGAGGCAGGTACAATAATATCAATATTAACCTTGGATATTTCTTCATTCTGAAGTATCCTGTTCAGGGACTATTTTCATCAGGACACATTTCAAAGTCTGAACATAGACGCAACATCTCTTTTTCTATCAAGGTTGCATCTTGGCCGAAGTGGGGATTTTGTAGAATTCTTGATACTGGCGCTTCACCTACATTCTCAACATGCGGCTCCCTGTCAAACCGGTTTTTTTCTCTTTGGTCTTTTACCGCACGCGGTTCATGGTTGCGTTCTTTTCCACGGGTAAGCCTATCTGCCCGAGTCCTTGCCTCTTGCCCTTTGGTCGGACGAGCTTCGTTGTCGCGTTTCTCTACGTTCCACTGACCGTCTGACCGAGGTTTGTATTCCTGTGTATTTTCCTCATGTGTTCCACTGCTGTGTGCGCATCCTGCTATGTCCATCTTGATTTGTTTTCGACTCTCCCCGTTTTGAGCTTCTTTAGATCTTTCTGCAAAGTTCCTGCAACCCTCGTCTCCTCTGTTGTCACCAGATGCGTTGACCATTCTGTCAACAGTCATAAATGAACCAAACATGTGTCTGTTCGTCTTCCAGTTGTGTTTAGGATGGATGTAGCTTGATCGGGTCGACAAACAACTATCTGAGTTGTGTCTTGTAATCGGTCGAAAATCGGATTCATTCATATCTGTTCGAGTTTTGTCGTGAAGGAAGTCATCAGATGTATGATTACGGACCTGGTAAAAAGGAACGCCCCTCAACTCTTGCTTAAAAATATCTGAAAGTCTATACTTTGAGTTTGCACTGGGCATGTCCTGAATTTCCAAATAACCTGTACTTTTTCCTGCTGTGGTATTTCCTACCGTTGTCGTTCCTCCTGTGTTTCTCCTTTGTCTGGATGACATGGACGGGAGGCGGAACCTGTAACTAACAGCACTGTCCAGTTGCACAAAACAAACGTAGGGCTAAGGCTATAGTAACTATCATCAAATACAATCGAATATGTAATCTTAGAGGACGTCAATACAAAAGCATTTGATTTTAATCATGAATTAATGTAATTGTGACACAGAGGGGTCTTTCTCCTGGAACTTTATAACCTTCTGAAGTAGCCAAATTAAATGTTATTGAAAATGTATTGCAATGTTTAATTTACCTTGCGGTCCCTAAATCTGAAAAGTAATTATAGATACATTATCAATAAAAAGTTCATCAAGGAACGTTGATTTCTTTTCTTCTAATGTTAACGAGATTCAGACCCATGAAGGATCGTAGGCACGTTATATGATGAAACCCTAAATAAAATTGACAGGAACTAGCTGAATACGATAAACAACAAAATAAACGTGCCTTAAACGGTATCATTATCTTGAAATACATTGTATTCTGTTGTTCCCTAATCTTCAAGAAATGCATTAATGGCTAATGTCGGAATTATATATTGCGCTCTTTAGAATGATACAATTTGAACTGATAGTGAGACGGTGACGCAAAGAGAAGATGACAGTTAAATATACCTATATCAATTAAGAACTAAGAATACCTGCAAATACCTAAAGAAGTCACTTTCATATGATTCCTGGCATGCCTAAGGGATGCACCTTTGCACAACAAATGTTTGTTTATACTTGAAGTATGACATTTATTGCATGTAATGCTCTAATTCAGTGACAATTTGCGGCTTGTTTCTCTACCTTTTAGTTTCTTGTAAATCACAAAGAACATCACAACCATAATTAGTAGAATTATGGCCAATGTCGAACAGCCAGTCACTATAATTAGTAGTGTTGGACTTGATTCTGAAATGGTAGAAAGAGCATCTATCAACTTAATTACACTGTTTATGCGGCACTTGGCAACGCTGTGATACTCAATGTTTTTAAGTACATATGTACATAGATGCTGTTAGGTTTATGCCATGGATGAATGCTTTAGATACATGATGATATTTGAGTTTCATGTCCTTACTGATAACTTTGTAGCAAGCTGTTTTTGTGATAAAGTCGATGTTGTTGCTGACGTTACACCGGATGCATTCAGTACCTCCATTGACGTTGTGGAAAGTCAACTCTGACTTGTCGCGGCTTAAAGCGATACCTCTCCCTGGAGGACAAATTACATAAACAAAATTGAACAAGGTCAATGCAGATACAGGAAAATGGCATAAACACACATTTGTATGTCACAATGAAACTTTATATATGGACTGTGCATCATATCAAATGGTTTATTTTTCACATGTATTGCATGCTGACATTGTTCAAAAAACTGCCGTGCCCATTGCATGAATAAGTCAATAAATCCCCAGGTCTTACTGTTAATTCCCTTGTCATGAATCCATTGGGTCATCATGGGGGATGTGGGGCCAATGGCTCTAGCTGTACATACAAACGTTACATCCTGTCCTTCCGAAACATCCTTTGTAGTTGGCATCTTCTTCCAAATTGGACCCGCTACAATACGTGCAGCAGAATTGCAAAACTATTATTTTACAACCCACTTACCGTATTCGACGTAACAAGCGCCCAGGGCGCTCTCAAAATTGGAAATAGGGGGCTCTTATTAGAATATTATTTTGTCGAAAAAAGAAAAGAGTTGAAAGATAAAATTCGTGGTTTATGCTGACAGCCTGAAATGTTTATATACCAGAGATATATTTTTCCAAAATTTAATTGCCCATAATTAAGGGTGCATGTAATACAAGAGTGCATATTATACGCGAATAAATACGTATTGTGTACATTGATCAATCAGAAAGGGTGCTAATTGGGATTGTTCACGAGCCAATAAATTAGCAAATATCGCCATGGGCGCTTATTACGTCGATTACGGTAATATGAAGTACATGTACAAGTTAATCTTCTTCAACGTCACACTTAGACATATGTTAGTTAGTATATGATACTTGCATACCTACGAATGTGTGAGGAAACGCTAAGTCATGCAGACTAAGTCTGAAGATAATCGTGTGGAAATTTATTTACCAGATCTTCAACACACATCAGGGCGTTGAACCTTAACTGCAAATTCGAGATACATGTGTAGTAAGGGTTGGTCGATACGGCGTATCTTCGTTAATTCGAGACATATGTCGAGGTACAGTAGTTCAAGACAAGTGAGATGTTATAATATCATAGTACCGCTGGCTATTCTACTGGGACGATAACGTTACATCGTCTTAAGCGATATACATGTGAAGGACTTTGAGTTACAGTGGTTTTATGGTACATGTGGGTATGCAATAAGAAATAATATTTCGGGCAGACGTATCTTTGGAGAAATAATTCGATTGTTAAGGTTAGTAATTAAAAGAATTGCTATGCATGTATTTGCAAAATAATATAACTTATGTATTCTAAGTTACGTTTAATGATATACACTGTAACAGTATCTTCAAAGTATTTATCTTTCGTATGATGATCATGTCGCCATGGTGCTAAATCATCTTCTCTTCCATTTTTCCGTGTGTGAATGTTTATTGAGTGAATGTGTAGAGTTTGTAGCGGTTGGTGTATCCGCACTCATACGTCGGGTAACATCGGGTAAATCATCGGGTGTTGTTCGGGCGTTTCCGGATGTGATCGAGGCATGTGATTAACTTACCCGCCAAACCTGACACAACAGACAGATCGAAACTGGAATTGTTTCTTTATTTGTTGTTGTTTAACGCCGCACTCAGCAATATTCCAGCTATATGACGTCGGTCTGTAAATAATCGAGTCTGAACCAGACAATCCAGTGATTGACATCATGAGCATCGGTCCACGCATTTTGGATTAGATGCTTCAACCAAGTCAGCGAGCCTGACCACCCGATCTCGTTAGTCGCCTGTTACAAGCATAGTCGTTTTTTACGGCAAGCATGGGCTGCTGAAGACCTATTCTACCCCGGATCTTGAACGTACGCATCGAACCCGAACTCACAACAATTTTGATCTCCCTATAATCAAGCTTACGCTGTAAGATAAGCAACTTTTCTCTTTCACTAGGCTTTCAGATAATATAAACACGTCCCATTTTAATTCTGGAAACCCAAAAGTCCAGAAACTCTACGCTCTTTTCCCAGTCTCGGTCAAAGGTATTTACAAAAATAAGCATGCTGTTTTCATGGGAACATACTAAGGAAGAAAAAATGAAAAAAAAAAGTTTAAAAACTCAATATTCACACCATCTCGCCCATGGGCAGGCCCATGGGCGAGAATATTTTCTATTTACACAAAACTCACGTTTTTGTTTCGCAAATACTTAACTTGTATTCCATCAAGTATCAAGACACAAAATCTCACTCATTTAACTTAATTCAACGATTTTATAGCGATATTGAAATAGTTCGCCCATGGGCGAGAAAAAGGTTTGGCCCATGGGCGAGCATATTTTCCATTACACAAAATTTATGTGTTTGTTTCGCAAATATATTTTAACGCATTCCTTTACGTATCATGACACAAAATTTAACTCATTTTAACTTAATTCAACGATTTTAAAGCGATATTGAAATATTTCGCCCATGGGCGAGAAAAAGGCTTGGCCCATGGGCGAGAATATTTTCCTTTACACAAAACTCATGTTTTTGTTTCGCCAATACTTAACTTGTATTCAATCAAGTATCATGCGCAAAATTTAACTCATTTCAACGATTTAATTCAACGATTTTATAGGGATATTGAAATATTTCGCCCATGGGCGAGCATATTTTCCTTTGCTCAACTGTTTTAGTTTCGCAAGTACATTAAGGGATTATAAGCATGACACATGATTCAACTCATTTTAACTTAATTCAACTAATTTTTGGCGTTATTAAAATATTTCGCCCATGTTTTCGTCATTCCCTTTAAAGAATTAACTAATTGTTTACAAAGTATATTGTATCATGTGAAACACACTTTGTATTATATCATTACATTACTATTTTAAAAGGGCCTTTGGTTGGATGTTTCCCCTGCAGAAGTTTTTCAAATTTCACCTTTTTTACATATTGCAACGATCTTTAATGAACCCGGCCTTATCTCTCAAAACATTTTGACAGTTTATCATACAAATCCATGCGCGTGTACACCAATTTATTGGCATTATTTTTCAACAAATTAAAGTTTAGTTTGTTTCTTTTTCACTACCCATTTTATGTCTCGTTAGTACATCACATTGGGAAATTAAGTGACAATAGACATACAATATACAGGTACACGTGTGCGTATTTTAATGGGGAAAAAACCGATTCGTCTTTCATTGCATAACGTCTAGCTGAATATCTCGCATTCTAACTAAATCTCGAAATAATTATTTCATTATTTGCGGTGCGATGTTTACAGGCGATTGAGTGAATATTATGACACTAAAAACAACTTATAAATGCATTTGTCACTTTTGGTATGAAAATGGTAACAGTTCAGAAAAAAACAGCCTTCTTATGATAATTCTCATATTCTCATTAGTACGTTGTATCTAATTACAGTGTCGGCATTATTCACAGGTGATTCTACAATACCTGCTCTCAATCAATTACGATCTACCACACCACGCGCGAATAAACAGTTATGCAGGTGTTGCTGTGGGCAAATACCTAGCCTTTATATGTTGTTGTTTTTTGTCGATACATGTATTACATATTATATTTTCGTTGATATGTGGATATATTAAGCAAGAAGACAAAAAAAGTTTATGAAAGATGAATTAGTGCCTTGATATATTCAACGAGATGTGTATCATCGTTTAATGGGTCATTCAATAAAAGTATGTTTGGAGGAGATATCAAAGGAGCCGCCCAATATACACAGTGTCGTCCGGTGAACTACCACCCCACCCTGTCCGTAAGAGTTATGTAATCGGTACACAACTATATTTGATGCGGTGTCAGTGTGGAAGGAGTTTGAATTACGTCCGCCACTGGCCACAGAGGTAATCCTCAAAGTCATGTAACAATAAACAAGATCAATGCCGTACTAATTACCTAGTGACGCACGTAACAACGACTGTCAATCTGTCTGCTACAGCTACCATACCATCATCCCTGTCACAACTGGCATGTCAACGGCTTATTCAAAATATTAATTGTAAAAACGTCGTTGAGAGATTAACGTATGTCCTATACAATCCTCATATTTGATATTAAAAAAAAGTAAAATACGTCAACTGGGAATTCAACTGGATGTTACCGTCCTTATATCAGCTGACAGCCCTGTTTGCGAAAATATGTACTAGACATAAGATTTATAGACTAATAAAATCAATTGTAAGACCGCATGGATCATAAACCGAATTAAATATGTCTTGGTATCATCTCTTGTGTATTAGATGATGGTAATGACCTGGCATGCCATATACTAATTGAACAGAGTTCACCTGCACATGTCCACTTTAGTGAGACAGACTGTAACCAAAAATACAATGAGCTGTAGCTCTCAATCCCTTATAACAACGACAACAACAACCAGGGTGAGGGCACAGTAAGGTTAAACCGTGTCCACAAGACAATCTCAGGTGGCTAACGCCATATCTCCCATCAAGTCAGTTCTATTTTTCAGCGCATAATTATTTTTTTACAATTTGAATAGAAGTGATTAAACAAATCATATTTAACAAACCTACACATTACCAAAAACAAAACTTTATAACCCTTTCTAGACTTCGTTCCAATTACCCTAGATCATATAACTCGCTCGCGAAGGTCGTATACGACTTTAAAGTGAATACATCTACAGTGTACAAGTAACTTTTAACTGTATCATATATACTCATGATAAGCAATTCATTCCTAATTCGAATGAGTACATTCTGGGGCTAAATCTGCAAAAGGATAGACGAAATATTTCTTTGTACATTGCAAACGATAGAAACGTAGCGGCTGATAAAAGAGACAATGACTTAATAATCTGCAATATATCATTTGTTCTCGTTTAATCTATCGTACATATTGAAGTGATTGTAAAGTTTCAAGGCGTACTTAAATGTTGTGGTATTATGAATGAATTTAGAATATCAATAGCGAAAAACAGTCACCATATGGGATGTACATGTAAGGATGTTAGACTGTGTAGCAAACTGGTGCGCACGTTGGCGCTCACTTGTCAACATCAAGAAAACTAAAGTTGTGCACTATCGTCCCCGTTACACTAAAATGTCCGATTTTGTTTTTACAATTGGGTCTGACCAGGTTGAAAGTACTCACGCTAATAAATACCTAGGTGTTTGGCTACAGGAACATCTTGATTTGAATTTTACAGTTAAAGAAATAGCTAAATCTGCAAATAGGGCACTTGGTGTTATAATTTGTAAATTCAAAGCAGTTGGTGGTTTAGCTTATAACATTTTTACAACTTTGTACAATAACTTGGTCCAGCCTATCTTATCTTATGGATCGGCAATTTGGGGAACTAAGGAATTTAGCTGTATAAATGCTGTCCAAAACCGAGCGTGTAGATTTTTCTTAGCAGTCGGTAGAAAGACTCCAAATTTGG